ACCCCGGGGTCCCCCCAGCCCGGGCAAGCCCAAGAGCAGATTTTGCCTGGGCTTCAGCCCGAGGGCGCTGACGTCAGCGCTGGTGTTATGCTGACGTCAGCGAGCAAAAAAAAAATCAAAAACATTATAAAAAATTCAATTTTTTAAAAAAAAAATACCAAAAAATTATGGATGTTTTCTCTATAAATACATAACAATTTTATTCACTTTCCCTATAAATACATAACAATTTTATATTTTGTTGCATATATATATTTTTTTCTTGCCCTTGACTTGTCTTAGACTTTGCCCTCATGGGTGGAACCACAAATGCAAAGGTTGACACTATTCATGTGAATAGTTGCAGCCCTTATTTGCCCTAATCTTAGACTTAGCCCTTGTGGGTGAAGATGCTCTAAAAAAAAATGAAAAAGGCGTCGACCCCAAAAAGAGGAAAAAATGTAAAAGGCTTGATCGCTGGTCGGTGACTCGGTGGCCATCCAGTCCCTCCAAAATAAAACAGAAACCTCGATATCTTTCAACTAATCTGACATTTATTCACCTCACGACCAATCACTTGGCGCCACGTTTTCACACCCCCCTGAATCAAGTAGCATTCCCTCACAATTTTTCTCTACAACGCTAACCCCCCAAAACCCTAAACCTCTGATTTCTGATTCCGAGTGGTCTATGATCGCTCATTTCGAACGCAAGCTCAGCTGCTTAAGCTTCGAGTTCGCTAATCTTGCTGACGAGTTTCATTAGTATGCAAAGCTCTGTCAAGCAGAAACTTCGTGCTTTTCGATGGACTCAGTGTGCTGGAAGATGTTGAGCTACACCGTATTTCTCGGTTTATTTCTTCTTCTCATGGTGGACCAAACGGTGTCGCATTTGAGCTCTGGTCCACACATTGCAGACGTCAATATTCTGCTGCCTCCCAAAATGACTCATCCGGTCGAGTATAGGCTTCAGGGAAGTGATGGCTGCTTTAAATGGTAAGCCACAGTGTGTATATATTGTATATGTTCGTTCCTTCTTTTTTACCAATGCTTGGAAAATTGATGTTTCTGGTAAAACGTTTATTTAAAATTGTATGAAATTTTTTGCAGGTCATGGGATCATCACGATATTCTGTCTGTTCTGCCCGAATATAATTCAACTAGTCACTGCTCAACAAGTGCGCGGTTGAGATCAATTGCTTCTTATAGTGGTCGAAAGGAGACTGCTGTTTACGCTGCTGATGTAACTACTGGAGCTGTGATTCGCTGCAAAATTTTTATTGACAAATTTTCCAGAATTCAGATATTTCATAATTCCATTAAGCTTGACTTAGATGGGCTTGCCACGCTTCGAGTCCGTGCCTTTGATAGTGAAGGTACTTTTTGAAATGCTAATGATCACAAGATTTTTGGGGCCATTGAATTCTCAATTTCATTTCTTGGTAGTTGATGCTCAATTTTTTTTTTCTTTTAAAGTTTAATTTGGTCTGGTTCTAAAGTTTAAGAAATTTGTCAACATGCATTGCAGAAAATGTGTTTTCTTCACTGGTGGGCTTGCAGTTTATGTGGCAGCTGATGCCTGAACCTTATGTATTGCCTCATCACCTTGTTCATGTCCCTCTAAAGGACTCTCCCCTGAGCGACTGTGGCGGGTTGTGTGGAGACCTAGATATCCAAATAAACCTTGAAGATAATGTATGCATATTGCAATTTGCTGTCAATGAAGAATATCAGAGGGTCACTGCATTTTTCACTTTGCATCTAACTTTTTTTTTTTTTTTTTAATGTATGATACAGGGTGTATTTTCTGATCTGTACGTCGTAAAGGGAATTGAAATTGGGCATGAGCTTGTTTCTGTGCATTTGCTTGAGCCACAGTTCAAGCACATGACTGATAAGATTGTTCTAACTGTAGCAGAAGCCATGTCGCTCGATCCTCCCTCGCCTGTTTTTGTCCTTGTTGGTGCAGCTGTTCGTTATAGTCTAATAATTATCCGTGGCAACAAAGCTCAAGGTTTTTCTTCCAATTCTTCTACATATGCTCTAAAGTAGTAAACTCTTTGTCTATTGCGGTATGTTTAAGGCCGCTTGATGGATAAAATTTCTTGATTTAGGGCCTAATTTTGATTATAATTTTTCTACTTAGGTTTCTTTCTATTCGAGTTTCACTTAACTAGTTTGGTATTTTATCATATATTTTGAAGAATTAACTTTTTGGTGTTAGGTTCACTGGATACGCATGTAGAGTTACGTGTATATGGCTCATATGTAGAGTTACGTGTATATGGCTCATATGTAGAGTTACATGGAATATTATGCTGCAGTATAAGTTTATTCTCACCAGTCATACTACCTTTCTTCATTGGGCCTTTGCAGTTGTAAATTTGCCGTCTCCACATCATCGATGGTCTGTTTCAAACTCTTCAGTTGCTTGTGTTGACTCTATGATGGGTTTGGCATATGCGTTGAACTTAGGGGTAACTAACACCATAGTTGAAGATACAAGGGTTGCTGGCCACATACAAGTGTCGTCACTTAATGTTGTCCTGCCTGATTCTTTATCTTTATACATGACACCTCTATCTACTTCTGATGATCCTGTTGAAGGAATTAAAGCAATTCCATCCATGACACGGTGGTATGGTGTTTCTGGTCGTCGGTACCTCATTCAAATGAAGGTTTTCTCAGAAGGACCAGATGCACAAGAAATCTACATTACAGAGGTAAAGCGTGCATTCTTCCAGTATCATTGTTCAAACAATGATATATCCAGTTAATTTGCATTTTTTACTAGCAGGGTTCTTTCTTCTTATCATTTTCCTTTCCACAATGTGAATTATGATCGTATTATCAAAGATGTTATTTTTTTTTCGTATTAATTGCTTCTCTTGTCAAATAATGTTCTTGCATTCTCTGTTTTTCTCTCCATATTTACTTTTGGCCCGAATTTCTGCAAATGTCCTTTGTTCTCATCTGATGCTAATGTCTGTCTTGCATTATACTATAGAAATTTCTGTTTTTGCTTTATATAGCAGCGTGTTATGTTTTTGTCTACTTTCGTCTCAGAAGTTTCTTCTGTGAATTGCAGAGTGATGACATAAAGTTGTCCAATAATCAGTCTGATTACTGGAGACTTTTTCCTGTATCAGATGATATTGCAATCAAACATGGCTGGCAGAATTCTATAATTCTAAAGGCAACTTCACAGGGACAGGATAAATTGACAGCTTCTTTGACTTACTTTAGTGGGCTAAATGAGACGAAGGAGGTAATGATTTGATCTTTAACTTTTTTCCTAGTTCCTGATTTGTTTATTATGATTCTATGTTTAATTTTATTCTTATTTTGCTTAAGTTGGTTCGTCTCTGCTTGTAGGTTCTCAAGGTTGCACAAGAAGTCATGGTTTGTGATCAAGTCAAGTTTAGTTTGGATAAAAGTGATGCATCTCCAACCATTTTCCTTCCCTGGGCCCCTGCTATTTATCAGGAGGTGGAGCTACAGGCTACAGGAGGTTGGTAGCTTTCTAGATACTCAGTTTCTTTAACTTCGACTCTAATGTTGCTTAGGGGATCTGAACACTATCAAATTATACAGGTTGTGCTAACGCATCCAGTGACTACAAATGGTTCTCTTCAGACATGGGTATTGTGTCTGTGTCTGCTTCTGGGGTTGCCCAGGCTAAGAAGCCTGGTAAAGCTACTATTAAAGTGCTCTCCATATTTGATTCATTCAATTATGATGAGGTACAGGGTACTCTGTATGTTCTTTTGCGTCCTCATAGTATCGAGTGTCCACTGACCTTCTTACTCCTTGTGCTTTATGGAATCTTTTAAAGTTCTGTACTCTGCACAACCTAATATCTAATCGCAAGATTCTTACACGCACACCCTCAAATGCTATACAATGTTTACATGGATCTTTATATTTTTCTCTCTCTCATCCCTATTGTCAATACTAGTTTTTATAGTATTTAGTCTACCGTGATAGGTTATCGTTGAAGTTTCCGTCCCAGCATCTATGGTCATGCTCCGTAACTTCCCTGTTGAGACTGTTGTAGGAACACATCTTCAAGCTGCTGTAACAATGAAAGCATCAAATGGTAATGTCATATGATATACTCATATATGCCAGAATCTTATGGTACTTGATTTGTGTCAATGGTGGATGGCCTTGTAAACTTTGATTTTTTATTTTCAGGTGCCTACTTTTATAGATGTGATGCGTTCAGTTCCTTCATAAAGTGGAAAGCAGGCAGTGAGTCTTTCCTTATTGTCAATACAACAGGGGAGTCCCCTGCTTTAGACAGTTTAGGAAATGCCGACTTCCATGCATCAAATTATGGTCCCCCATGTTCATGGGCATATATATATGCCTCTGCTTCTGGTCGGGCTACTCTTCATGCTACATTATCAAAAGAATATCACAACTTTGATAGCACTTTTGGTGGACCTATTGTCTTAAAAGCATCTTCACTTATTGCGGCATACTCACCACTTAGCATTCGTCAGGCAGGTGATGGAAATCATTTCGGTGGCTACTTTTTTGATCTGGCTCTAGCAGAAACTGATAAGCAATTGGTAAAGTTGGACAAAATATACCTTGTCCCTGGGACGCATTTGGATGTTATGCTTCTTGGTGGACCTGAAAAGTGGAACAATGGTGTTGGCTTTGTTGAAACTACGGAAATCTTAAATGAACAACATGGTCACATTGACAATGGTGCTTCTGTGGAAAGGTTATCTGAAACCCATAAGAGTTTGTATAGAGTTTCATGCCAAATGCTGGGAACCTATGTAAAATTCCTCTCTTTATATTTCAGACGGTTTCTGATATAATTATCTTTATGCAAAATTCTTAATATAATATATCTTTATCCAACATGGTATAAATGATTTCCTTAATTCAAAACTGCAAGCAGTTAAATTTTACTTTCAATATATTTTAATATACACTTTTTAAGATAATGGTGAATGGCCACTCTACAGTAAATGAACGTGAAGTCATACAGACTGCAATTCAAGCTGACCGCAGTTCAGGGCGAATTCGTGTCACCCCTGTTACTGTGGCAAATGGGCGCACCATTAGATTAGCTGCAATTGGCATCAGTAACTCTGGAGAAGCTTTTGCAAACTCATCTTCTCTTTATTTGAGGTGGGAACTTATCAGTTGTAATGAGATGGCTAAATGGGATGATGATAATTTAGAGAGGTCGGAGCACAGTTGGGAGAGGTTATTGAGCTTGAAAAACGAGTCAGGCCTGGTACTTCCAGAATTTCATTGTCCTTTGTTTTAATATTATCATCTCTTAGTTCTGTTATTAGATTGACAAAATTTGTGTCCAGAGCTTTAACTCAAGAATGAGACCTTTGTCAACTGAATTTGTTTCTAGATTCATATGACATTAAAGTACAAATTTCCTTATTTTTTTATTGGGGTTTCTTTTCAGTCCCACTTCATTGTATATTAGGGCTATATTATGTTTTCCTTACCTTGGTGTTTATATGGTAAAATTAAAAATCAGCTAACATGTTTAATCCTTTGCTTCTTAGTGTACAGTTCGTGCCACGGCCATTGGTTTCAGAGATAACATGGGTGGTCATAAGTCTGTTCCATTGCTTGATAGTTCAGAGAATGTTCTTGCAGATGCAATTCGTCTACAGGTATAATTATTCTTTCAATTTTTTACTATATTTTCCTAAATGCATCCCGTTCATATTTAGTCTTTTAATCTTCTATATCTGTCAATCTCACGTTTAAATTTTTGAATTCTGAGCAGCTAGTTTCTACACTAATGGTCAGCCCAGAGTTCAATCTGGTGTTTTTCAATCCCAATGCTAAGGTAGGCTCTGAACACATTATCAATACTCTATTATTATGGCTTAGTAAGTAACCGTGTCTAGTTGCTGGGCAGATCATACTCTTTTTTACTATTTTCTGTGTTTATTTATTTTTTCTTTTAGCTTCTATTATCCGTAATATCTCCATTTGGAATCAGTTAATTATCTCTCTGGAAAAATGGGGAGAAAAAGAAAAGAAACACACAAAATGCAACCCTTCCTTTTGCAACGAAGTGGTAGTAATGACTAAGGTAGAGCCGTGGAATGCCTACCTGTAGTCCTGTGCATAAGTGCTTTGGGATACGAAAGCCCTAATGTAACATAAATTTTCCCTTTTTAGGATCATAATTAAAGTAAAGAGTTCCACGTGTTTCACGAAACTTGGGTAGAGATGGAGCAGGTCTTCTGAGACATTGTATTTTAATTCATTTATCAGACATTTCTGTCATGTTGTTATGCATTGGGAAATGCCTTTGCTTGTTGTAGTTTATATATTATAGTGCATACATTTGGGCATTTTAACCTACACAATGCATTTACTATCATCTTTCAGTTAAATCTGTCAATCACTGGAGGGAGCTATTTCTTGGAAGCTGTTGTGAACGATTCTCGAGTGCTAGAAGTTGTTCAACCCCCAAGAGGTTTACAATGCTCACAACTGATGCTGTCTCCTAAAGGTATGGGGACGGCGCTTGTGACAGTTTACGATGTTGGACTTGCTCCTCCACTTGCAGCTTCTGCTGTGGTAATTTCTTTATTCTGCTCTATCACTTGTTCATAATTTTCCAGTTAATAGGTAGCTTTTAAGTTGGTTTTTGTATTATCACCTCATTCACCTTACAAACAACGTTCATTTTTTATGCTGTTGAAAGTTATTGTCTTTCTTTTACATTGAGTCCCTTTTTCTTCCGTGAAGTGTCAATTGTTTGATTTGGGTGATTAAGCTTCTCTGCTTAGTTTCAGTTGGAAATGATGCTTACCAAGTTAAGCGAAGATGCATGATAAATTTCCTCGATTACATATGTATGGAACTTTTGACTTCTTGTAAAATGGATTTTAACTCGGGATTCTAAGAGAATAGTATCACATGTCTCTCAGCTTTGGGTTTTTCAAAATCACATTTACCTGGAATATAAACTTGAACAGATTCTTGAAATTTGAAATTATGCCATCAAACCCTTAGTGCCTGTTGCTTCAATTTCTTTTCTCATTTGTTATGCTTTTAGGCGGTCACAAACCTTTATCCTGAATGTTAAATATTGCTTGCTTTTGTAGACTAGTTTTTTAATTTTTTAATTTTTATAAAGGTGTGCGTATTGTGTAGGTACAAGTTGTAGACATTGACTGGATAAAGATTGTGTCACCAGAAGAAATAAGCCTTATGGTATGTTTATCTGGTGTAATTATTTTTTTGGTTATCTGGTATATTTTTTGCTCCATTGCAGAGCTACTGGGCAGTGAGAGGTAGCCTGTGTAGCCATTCTGGATTTAATGATATCCTACTTTGATAATTTCAGGAAGGGGCATCGCAGACTATTGATTTGATGGCTGGGATTAGTGATGGAAGGACTTTCGACTCTTATCAGGTTTGAATAGTCCTGATCTATTAGCTTCGGGAGTCTGGACTTATGTGTCTCTGTTTGTCTTTTGTTGCCTACAAAGTGAATTTAGTGGAACACAATTAAGGGGATTAGTTATAGTTCTGTTTATTTTGGTAGATCTCGACCTTGTTTGCTTTCTTGCCTGAGTGTTAAAGCTCAAGTTTGTAAGCCAAATTCTTGCTTTATATCTTACATGTGAGAGGCTTGATGAGTTGGAACCTTTTGTGCAGTTTGCCTACATGAATATTCATGTGCATGTTGAGGATCATATTATTGAGGTGTTAGACATTAATGATATCTCAAGAACAGGAGGTGGATATGTTAATGTCCCGAAATTTAAGATTTTGGCTACACATCTTGGGATCACAACTTTCTTTGTAAGTTCACCGTTGTCCTTGTACCTATGTGTTACTATTTTTAGTATTCTTCAAATTGTCAAATCTTTTGTTGCGGTTTCTGAATGATGAAAGTTTACTGAAAGTACTTGAAATCAGGTGAGTGCTGTACAGCAATCTGGGCATGAAATTTTGAGTCAACCAATAATGGTGGAAGTGTATGCACCACCAATAATTCACCCACAAGACATTTTCCTTGTACCTGGTGCAGCTTATGTGGTATGTTTCCGATATAAATCTCACCTTGTTTTTCCACCTTTCTGCATCTTTTTCTCTCTTAACAATGAGTTATTTATGCCCTTTGAGAATATCAATATGTAATATGAAAAAGAGTTTATCTATTTTTCCTTTGAGAATATCAGTATGTAGTATGAAAAAGAGTTTGTGTAGTTGCTATTTTTCAGCTGTCTGCAATTAGTTGGAATTTAATTTTGATTATGCTACACTTTTTATATATATAATATATAATTGTTGACTGCGAAGGCCCTGTATATACAAAATATGCATAGTCTTTCTTTCATGTTTCTTATAGGTATTTTAACAAGTTCATTCTCTTGTGCTTAGCTTACTGTGAAAGGAGGCCCAACAGTTGGTGTATATGTTGAATATATGAGTATGAATGAGGAAATAGCGACAATGCATAGATTTTCAGGACGACTGTCTGCCATTTCACCTGGGAACACTGTAAGACATGATTGTATTGTAGCTGATACCAATTTACCCTATTCTTCTTAGCTATTTGTATGTGTTACTTATATTATATGATTTTACTATTTAATAGAAAAAAAAATAAAGGCATGATATCATGGATTGACTAGCAACGTGTCATTTTCAGGGTTTTTCATGACTATGTAGTCTGATTATTGGATGGGGTATTTGTAAATGGACACCTGGTCTTTAAATTATCATGTGGGCAGTCGGGCATTTAAAAAATTTCAATCTGCTAGAGCATTATCTCTTTTTTCTGTTAGTTTTTCCTTTACTTTTACGATCAGGATGAGGTCACCATGTTTTAAATCATAATATATAAATAAATCCTAATACTAACAGAAAGACAACCATTGTTTGAGCCCCATCTCACTTTATGCCTTCAAAAGTCAATGTTCATGTAAGACTTGGACCGAACATCCTGCTCATAATGAATGAGGCATATCTAGTTAGGTTTAGCTTTGGGACTTTTTGTCTTGTTGGGTCCTCTTCACAATTACCACCAGAACAGGAAGTTTCGGGTCTTTGGCTAGTTTTGTGTTAGGATTTTTTTCTTTATTCTTATCATTATTTTGATTTATTTTTTTTTAAAAATGCGTATTTACACTTCTGAGTTTAGATTTTGCTGATAATGCAAAATTTGTGTAATCAAATGCATTTTTTACATACGCCCAGACTATTCGTGCCAGAGTCTTCAGAAATGGAGATACCGTGATTTGTGAAGCATATGGCAGTGTTAAAGTAGGAGTTCCTTCTTCGGTGATATTGAATGCACAAAGCGAATTGCTTGGTGTTGGCCGTGAGATGCCTATTTATCCTTTGTTTTCGGAGGTAAGAATTACAAACTGAAGGGTTATGCATCATCTCTTATCAGAATACTTACTTGTGGGTATCATCAGGGCGATTTGTTTTCTGTTTATGAGCTCTGCCAAAATTACCAGTGGACTGTAGAAGATGAAAAGGTTACTACTTCCTGCATCTTTTTGCTCTGCATGTGAATTCTCCCATGTCAATGCTTGTGGATGACCAGATATTATGTAAGAGTTTTTCTGTTTTCGTTGTCTAGGTATTGAGCTTTAATTTGTTAGAGCATTTGAATGGTGAGAAGTATGGGACTCGGTTGGATCCTTCAGAAAAAATTCAGTTCCCTAGCCATATGAGTGAGGAAGAGCTTGGTTTTATCAAAGTAATGTTTGGAAGGTATACATTGTTTTATAATTGTTATGTACATCACATCTTTCCTTTCCAGCTTTTATTGATATGTGCTCCGTCTGCATCATGTTCCATGTTAGACATGGGCAGGCTGAACGGGTAAACTGATTCTTCTTACTAGAATAATAAATTCCATCATATGGTCGACAGCAGATATATAAATTGCCATGAATTTTGAATACTCAAACATGAAGAAAATGCCAGACTAAAAAGATGATGAAAATCTCTTAGTTAAAAAATCTTTCCATTTTTCCATTTTCAGATCTGCAGGGAGGACCAACATTGCAGTCTCGTTCTCATGTGAATTTATATCTTCTGGTTCTAAATCATGGACAAGATTTTACAATGCATATTTATCAATATTGGTGGTGCCTGATCTCCCTCTTGCTCTTGGAGTCCCAATAACGTGGGTTCTTCCTCCTCATTATACTACAACAAGTATTTTACCTTCATCTTCAGAATCATATGGCCAAAGGGATAGTCAGAGTCACAAAGGAACTATTATCTATTCCTTATTAAGAAATTTCCCTGACAAGAATGAAGGTGTGCAAAAGGATGCTATTTCCGTTGAAGGGGACAGAATAAAGACATCAGAGAGTAACAATCTTGCATGCATTCAGGCAAAAGATCGTATGACGGGTAGAATTGAGATTGCTGCTTGTGTCAAAGTTGCTGAGGTATGAATATTAGTACCTGCTGATTGACACGATATATAAGGAACAAGCTTTCTTTTCAAATATGGTCACACACACACGCACACAAGACATAGTGGTATAGCTTCTGAGTGCTGGGGAAGTGCGATTCTTGGTTTCAGATTTGTCTAACCTTCACTTCTCAAGATTGCTGAAAGTTTTTAAGAAACAATGGTGAAGTATCTGCAATTTGATATTTTTGGTATGGGCCTTACATTTCTATCAATTTTTGATGAGGTAGACTTATAAAAACTGAATCAGCATTCCAAATAGATTCTATTGAGAGTATAAATATCCCAGATTGCATATTCTAAGCCTTGCATCTCAATTATAGAATCTTGGGCCTCTTTACCATAACCAATTTGTTTTGGATTGGATGCTCAGAGTAGACTTTACTTCAATGCAGTTTTGCACTTCTCAAAGTAGATCTTTAACCACATAATCATTACAAAAGAAATTAAGATAAGCTAGGTAATGCTTCATTATAATCAATGTTCAAGTGTTGAGGTGCTTATTTATTGCCTTTTGTCCCCGTTCTTGACTTTATTGCTTATTCTAAGAGAAATGCATATTCTGGTCAGGTGTCTCAAATAAGAATTACGAACAAGGAGGAGGTACCATTTCACGGGATTAATCTTGCTGTTGGTGCTGAACTTTCTCTTCCAGTAGTCTATCTTGATGCACTAGGTATTAATGTTTCAGTTATATTAATTAAAATTGGTACTGTACTGTACTTGGTAAAAAAAAAAATGGTGTTTCAAATTTGAGTCTAAGTCTTTTGTGGTTTTTCTTTGACTAGGAAACCCTTTCTATGAAGCATATGGCGCTGTTCTCTTTGATGTTGTAACCAACTCTCCGGATGTTGTGTCCATAAACAAAAACAACACACATGGTGGCAGTAGAAATATCCATCTTAAGGTCTCGTTGATTCCAAGTTCTTTTTTTCCTACTCAAATAGCTCCATGCAAGAAGCTGTGATAAGGATTTCTTTTTAGATATATTAATCAAGCAACATGCATTTATGTAGACGAGAACTAGCTGAGTGAAAGTACAGCAGCATATTTTAGTATCCGTTTGATTTTCTCAAGCCTTATGCTGACGCCTGTTTTTCAAATTTATGGTTGAAGGCAATGCGGCATGGTAGAGCTCTTGTGCGAATATCCATTGATCGTATTCCTCAGAAGTCGGACTATATCCTGATATCAGTGGGTGCCCATATACATCCTCAAAACCCGCTTCTTCATATTGGAAGTCATCTTAACTTCAGCATTGAAGGTAGGTTATGGCAAACATGTACCTTGGAATTCATTTGTTGCACATTGTTACAAGTCTTGACATGTTTCATTGATCAATTTGTCTTGTTTGTTTAAGGTTTCAGAATTTCTTTTTTCTCTTTTTCCCCATGGATTGTTGTACCTTATATGGACCCTTTTGAGTAAGGCATGTTGGCTCTTAATCTAGTTTCGTTACAGCAGTAGATCATCGAAAGGGTTTTCAAGGAAGTGCAGTCAAGCGCTAATGTTTCTTATTGCGATAGCTCAACCATGCACAAATTGGATAAAATTTTGTAAAAAATTCTTCATGCAAATGCACCTCCTATGTAAATACATTCATAATTACTGAAATCCCATTGACATCTCCTCTTCTTTTTCTGAAATATTTTAAGAAAATGTACTTTTGTTAAATATATTCTTTATTGTCATATGTGCATTACTCATTTGTATCTATTGCTCTATGGAAACTCATCCTCCTTAAGTTGAGGTCACAATTTATAATGGGTTTGCTTCTCTAGGTTTTTTTTATGGGGGGATGCGTACTAATGATTGGTGCTGCACTCTCAGGCAATATCTTCCATGCAGTACAATTAGATGTGGAAATATCACTTTGTAGTTTTATGCTTCACATATGTGGAAGAAAAGTTAAGCACGCACATTAGAAAGAAACATTTCCTAAGGTTCTAAATGACATTCTTTGTGAATTTTCCACGTATAGAAGTTTGAAGACAAAGGTTGATCAAGTTTCCCACTCCACCTCACCTCCCAGTGACATTTTACATTGTTTATCTTGATTGATAGGTTTAAATGATAAAGTTTCTGGCCAGTGGAGTACTGCCAATGGAAGTGTTATATCTGTGTCCCCATTGTCTGGAGTAGCTGAAGTAGTGGGGGAAGGTACAACCCAAGGTAAACAAATACTCTTATGTTCTGTTGGATCTACCGGTCTAGACAAATTTATGTAAATGTATCTTGACCCCGTGATTTTTTGTAAATGATAAGTTGATTATGATGATACAAATTTTCACATTCATAAGTTCTTTCTTGTGAACAGTATTTTTTGAAGCTTCAAGTTTGAAGCTGAGAACAGCTGTAATAGTGCTAACAGGGGATATTGTATCTGTGGATGCTCCAAGAGAGACACTAACAAATGTTCCCGTCCCTACCAAAGGATATAACTTCTCTGTGAAGATCAGGTTTGTAATCCATGAATGTTGGATATGGATATAGGATGTTGGACTCAGCAATTCTCTGAAATTTAGACAATTAGGCACGATTACATATGCATGTCTTATTAAATCTATAAAGTTGGAGCGTATATTTTCTACTTTAGGGAGCATTTACATGCAGCAGAAGAATAGCTAGCAGTAGCATCATGAAAAAAAAGTTTCTTAACAGAATAAGTAGAAAGAGGTAGACCTTTCTTATCCTACATATTTTACTGTAGAATAAATATGAATTCTTTTGGATTCCAGAAGAAGTTCAACACTCAGAGTAGGACCATGGTATCAATTTTAATGCATAATTTTCAAGGAATCACAATATAACCGTTTAGCAAACTAATGCCTGGCATGTGGTCAGTTATCCGGGGAAATTCAACACATAGAAGTGCAATTGAATGCTGAAGACATTGATTAGCAGATATGGTTGCTTGTAAAATTTGTTTTATCTTTAAGATATTTACATATACTAAGTAAAAATTGTTCTGTCATTTATGTATGCATAACTTGGAATAGCTTATGATAACATAATATCTACCGCCTACCACTTCATATTCCCTATTTTGGGTTGTATATTTATATAAATGTTTGACATATATGTATTTATATATATATATATATATATATATATAAATACATATATGCATGATTTTTAGAATCATTCTGCATGTCTTCTTCATCATTATTATATTTGTACAGTTCATAGGATACATTGGCTAAAAAATTGCCTTTCTTTTGTTATTGATATTTTTTCGGGGACAGAAGAATAGAAGTAATACTTCTCAAGGAATGTCTGATAATGTTTTCACCTTTTTCTATTTGTTTCAAAGCAATAATTACGACAAGTTTAAGGCTCTTGGAGACGTCAAGGGACTCCAGTATGACTGTAAAGTGGACCCGCCTTTTGTTGGGTACATTTCTCTCTTACTCTACTGCCTCACTTGTTTATAAATATACTCAGTTGTCCTTATTGAGCTTTACTATTTTTTTTTCTCTTCGTGGATTACAGGTATGCAAAGCCATGGTTGGATCTTGATACCGGTAACTCATACTGCCTCTTTTTCCCTTACTCACCGGAGCATTTGGTTCGTTTGATACCCAAGTCCAAGGATATGAAACCAGATATTTCTGTTTCCATCAATGCTTCATTGAGAGGAGCTGATCATGTTTCAGGATCTGCTTCTGCTCTTTTTGTTGGAGGGTTTTCCATATTGGAGATGGGCAAGGTAGTGACGTATTCTGAAACATTGTAAATGGCTCCTATAAGTCCTTGATATCAGGAGCCCCTTCAAACTTATACAATAAAAATCAAAACAATGGTAATAGTGTTTGATGTAGTTGTTGCTTGAATGTTTCAGGATTCAATGCAGTTGAATCTGACCCCATACTCTAACAAGACGATTATAACAATCCTGGGTAACATAGGTAAGACCTAAGTAGACAGGATGCATTTCCTGCAACCACACATGTGCATGCTCCTGGCCACCATGCATTATTTGAGTTTAATTAAGGTTCTGGATTCTGATGTCATCAGTTGTTTTTTTCTGATTGTAGATGTTGAAATTTATTGGCATGAGCGGGAGTCACTACTCATTACTCCCATCCATACAGAAGGTTTTGGGATCGGTGGACGTGCAAAATATGAGGTGAGTACTGATTGCTTAAATTTTGCTTAAAATTTCGGTTGCATTTCAATGGAGATGTTTGGGTCTTTTGTACAAATGAGAAAAAAATCATTGGTTCTTAATGACACTTGGATATTGCTTCAGAGAAAGAAAGAGAGAACACAAAAAGAAAGTTTTATTATTGGTAAAACTTTTCCTTTTGGAAGGAGAGTAAAAGTTAGTTTTTGAAAATATTAAAAGTAATACAAGCGATTCCATGGTTCCAAATCCTATTTATCCTTCTATTGTGCAGCAATCTACCGACTGAATAGAAAGTGCAACAATGCTTAGCACAACAGTTTAATTTCATTTCCATATGTTGATTTTGATATCTTTCACGAATTATGGTACGTGTCCATTTTAGGTGAAAATGCTGGGAGCCAAAAGATTCACAGATACAATTTTCATCACACTCCCAGCCAATGGTGAATCTTTTTTTTCCCCCTAATTCTTGATCTTACTTCACTCTAGGAGACAAGGTTGATCTTTAAGTATTCTTGGAACGAGGTTATACAAATTTATGTCTCGTATGCAGGTCAGAGTGTGGAAATCGACGTTAGCTGTGACCCCGGAGAAAGAACAGCATCTGAAACTACCATTAATTATACCCTTTGGTCAACGGTGCTTGGATGTCTTGCTCTATTGATTTTGACAGTGGTTGTCTCCATATGTTATTTGGACAGACCGGATAGATCTCCCCAAACATCCATTAATGTTCCTGCTACTCCAAGTATTGCAGCCCCAGTCACACCTGTACGTAGCAGCCCAGCTATCGGGAGTGAATCTCCCCGAACACCTCAGCCTTTCATAGATTATGTAAGGAGAACAATAGACGAAACCCCGTACTACAGGCGAGAGCCTCGGAGGAGGGTTAATCCGCAGAATACTTTTTAGTTTCTTAGACTGTCATTAACAAGTTAGATAGGACACTTGGTCTCTCAGAATGATGTACGGAGCCCATGTAAATGCAAGTGCTGCTGACTCTGCTGAGAGCCAGAGGCATTCTTGTCCAAATTTTGGTGTATTTAGAAGTTAATGTATTTATACTCTATCTCTAAAAGTGGAAAAGTAATGGATTTTAAGATTTAAATCTTAAGATCATGCTGTGATGTGATGTTCTTTGAAAAGGCACGCCCCTTCACCCGAAGAAGAAATTGGAGTTGTTAAACACATTAACTATTTTTCTGAACTTTTTGTGCAATTTTCTTTGTACATTTTTTCCCATCGCTTTTACGTAACATTGAATTGGGAAAAAAAAGAAAAGAAAAAAAACAACTGGTATTTGTTGAAGTTTTGTTAATTAATTTAAAATAATTAGACTATTACTTGTATCAAAAATAAAAAACTATAAAAAGAGGAAAGGAAAACATTTTAGAATCGCAATATATCTTAAACTCAAATGCCGTGAGAGGGTTTAAGAGCCTCGGCACCAAATACTGAACAGAATACACTTGAGTCTGGTCCTTTTCAGTCTTGGTCTTGTGTCTAGGGCTAACTAACTTCTTCTTCTTCTTTGGAGGAGCTCTCTGTGTATACTTTGAGTCAAAATTCGAAATCCATGGATTCGCAGACTAACGATGCCAACCTTGACGGTGAAGCTCACGACATTAACAGGTCAGACCACAGAGATGAGGCGGAGGATGAAGATTACAAGTCTCAACCTCATACTGGCGACGGAGCCAGTCCTGGGTAATCTCTCTTTCTCCTCTCCTCCACTTTTAGCCCCCGTTTGGTTCCTCAGAAAATTTGGGCAAAACCAAGACAAAAACGAATCTCAGCTAGTTATTTTTTCTGTAATTCCGTAGGAAAATCTTTATAGGGGGTTTGGCCAGAGAGACAACTACAGGTAGGGTTTTCTTTTTCTTCCCTTTTTTTCTGGAGCTAATTGCAGTGTTTTTCTAATTATTAGGGTTTCTGATTGTAAATCTTTTGTGGTAATGCAGCGCAATTTATAAAGCATTTCGGCAAATACGGTGAAATTATAGATTCAGTGATAATGAAGGACCGGAAAACGGGGCAGCCCCGTGGGTTCGGTTTTGTGACCTATGCAGACCCCTCTGTCGTTGATAAAGTCATTGACGAAACTCATGTTATCAATGGCAAACAAGTAAGCTTTTTTACTTTTATTCGCGCACAATCTTGAGTTGCATACTTTCTTTGTCATATTTACCTGCTTTATGGTCTTTGTTTTTTTTATTTTGTAGGTGGAAATCAAGCGCACAATACCGAGGGGTGCAATGGGGTCTAAGGATTTCAAGACTAAGAAGATTTTCGTGGGTGGAATTCCAACAACCGTGAATGAAGGTGATCTTTTTTCTTTTCAGTTTTTGGTTTTTCTTTCATTATATAGTTGTTGAGGTACTTATTTATTGTTTGTAAATGGGCAGATGAGTTTAGTGACTTCTTTTCACAGTTTGGAGAGGTCAAGGAGCATCAGATTATGCGAGACCACTCCACCGGTCGCTCCCGTGGCTTTGGATTTATTACCTTTGACACAGAGCAATCAGTTGACGAACTCTTGGATAAGGGGAACAAGCTTGAGTTCGCTGGAGCTCAGGTGAGCTATGTACTGAATATAGCCTATGCTTGCATTTATCTCTGCCCGTATATGCTTTATAATTATGTTACATGGTGCAGATCCTGAAGTAGTTATTATTTGCATTAGCTATTGTATTGGTTGTAGTTAGCATTCTGGTGTTTGTCAAATTTTGCGTTGATGTTCTACATATCCTCTTTAATGTCAAGTACTGGTGTCATTCATGGGGGGCCAGCTCAGTATCTTGATTATTAAGATTTCATGTTTATTGCATGTGTTGTTGTTCTCATGTTGGCAATTGAGTTTTTGCTCCCTTCATATGTGCCTGCTTGCAAGACCTCATGATAAAATTATAATTCCAGTTGGCTTTTTAATTTTTTTTTTCTTCAGCTGGTGGATGTTGAATTATAGTTCCATTATGGGTTGCGCTAGTTCGTTGCTAAGTTCAGTATAGTACCTGTAGATTACTGAAAGTTCCTGTTGTTTTTTATTTTATTTCTGAAGTGATGGAATAAGGGACCATATACAAATGCTTGATCAAACAAAACTGAGGTGGAATTTATTGTGCACAAGAAAATAGTTTACATGTACTCTACAGTTGTGGGAGAAATCTGGAATTCTTATATGGATCCAATTATGTTTTTACTAGATGCATCTTTGATCAATCAAGAGGCTTGATGATTTAGATTTTCATCTCTCATTTCTTGTAGGTGGAGATTAAAAAGGCAGAGCCAAAGAAGCCAAACCTACCTGCAGCCCCATCTAAACGTTACAGCGATTCTCGGCCTGCATATGGTGGTGCGTATGGAGATAGCTATGGGGGATTTGGAGGTGGAGGTGGAGGTTATGGTGCTGGTGGTGGTTATAGGTCAACTGCGGCCTATGGTGGTAGGGGAGGCAGTGCATATGGAGGATATGGTGGAAGTGAATTTGGCGGCTATGGAGTATATGGAGGAGGTGGTGGTGGTGGGGGTATAGGGGCGTATAGGGGAGAATCATCCATAGGATACTCGGGCCGTTATGGAGGAGCCTATAGCAGAGGTTATGATCTAGGAGGCGGTTATGGTGGAGCTGGCGAGAGTTATGGGGGATATGGAAGTGCTGGTGGTGCAGCTGGTGGTGGTTACGGGAGTGGTTATGATGCAGGTTTTGGAGGTGGCTACGGAGGTGGTAGTGGAGCTTCCTTTTATGGTAGTAGAGGGGGATATGGTGGTGCAGGTAGCGGCCGATATCATCCATATGGGAGGTAGAAGGTTTGTTGTATTTTAGGACTAACGAAGTCTTGCAGCCGAACGCAAAGGTGTTGTTTGTAGCTCTTGGCTTCAAGTCTACTCTACTGGCTTATGTTTCCAGTTTCTTTTATTTTTGTGTCAAAGATGTTCCATATTTACCTTAGTTTAATTCTTTTTATTTCTTTGAAGGATCGATTTCCATTTTACCCTTTTCTGTACCAAGACTACGAGATCAAAGGGACCTGGTTCTTTCTTATTTATCTGCCAATTATCAGTAACAGGCTGCACATTGTGCAGATGTTTGCATTAGACTCGTTCTCCGAAGATATTTCTTCTTCTTTTTGTAGGATCACTCTACCATTTATGGTAATGATTCCTTGACCTCATCCCTTGGAGATTGTCTTACAAAATTCTCAACTGGTTTGCTACTTTTTGGTTGGGAAATAAGTCCACATCGTTCAATCTTTCTTGCCCTTTTTCCCTGGCAAGAAACAGAAAATTGTTGTTTGTGGTTTAAACATAAATAAAAAATCTCACATGTGCCCGATGACACGAATTTCTTCTTGTGGTTTCCAAGCACGCTCATTTGAATTTCTTCTCACTCTCCTAGACGAATTGATTTGGGTTTATGTAATGTATTTAATTTAGGGGCTGTTTGGAGTACTTATGAAAGGGCTAAAAATGTTTCGTAACAACTAAAAGCAATTTTGATAGTCTTTGCCAGAAAAATTTATAAGAGCTTTTGGGTTACAAAAGTGCTTTATGAAGAAGCACCTGCTAGGTGTTTTCTCAGGAATTTCTTCTTAGGAAAGCAGGTGAATTTTTAATAAAATTAAACACTTCTAAAAAAGTGCTTATGAACAGAAGTGCTCTTACATAATAAGCACTTGGATTTTCGAAAAAAATATAAAATTACCCTCCTGTAATAGAAGCACGTCTAAAAAAACGCTTATAAACAAAAGTGTGCCTACATAAACATTCCAAACTGGCCTTAGTGTTTCTATTACATTTAGTTTTTTAATAACTTTTCTCATGATACAATCAATGTTGGGAAAATGTTTGTAAACGTTCAAAGTCAAAAGTGGTCAAATAGCATTTCTCACTTTTCTGTTAAAAGAGGTGTGGTGTCCGATTGAAATAAGTTGATAATTCAGTGGCGCCTGAGAAATTAACGCCCCCCAACAAAAATCGGAACTATTTTTTTTCTGGCATTATTTCCCTTTCTCCGACCTGGTCTGCCTCTCAAGTATCAGCCACAGAGAGCTCGAGGGAGAATGGCCATGGTGTCCTGGAACCTCGGCGTGGGTCCACGCCCAAAGGTACACAGAGAGATAGATACACACCAATTCATGGATTTTATTTTTCTATTTATTTATGTAATATTAGCTAATCTCCATTTTCTGTTCCCATTTCCTTTTTTTTTTCCTAGCTACTTCAAGTCTCTTGCAGAAAGAAAGAGAGGAACAGAGATAACCATCACCCTTACAAAGTAATCGAAATAACGCCTCCGCCCAAGAACCTTGGCGTTCGATGCTTTCCCCCCGTAAGTCCCTACATCTTGTACCCATTTCTCTATTTATGCTCATCAATTGCTCATTAACATTCATAATCCACTTGTAAATATCATTATTTCGGGTTTAAGCCTACCCAAATTGTGCTTCTCACTGTTGCTGGCTTCCCAAATTGAGATTACGATATGTTGAATTTATTCTACCAATTGTTTTTTAAGTTTTTGTTTAAGGGATTGCATAGCTGGATAAGGAAAAAAAAAAAAAAAAAAACTCTTAAATTGAGAGGCTCAAGTGTTTCCCTTTCTTAGACAGATTGGGATGTGTGCAGCCTTGTGGCAAAGAAATCCCACTAATAATTTTAGGGATCGTTCTGATCTGAATCTAGGAATGTCTGTTTAGCGGGGATTAGTCATGTGCTGCATTGGAGCTGACTGAACTATATTGCTCTTGGTTATTGTGTTATTGTATTATATTCGGGTTCTGATCCATGATGTTTGAGATAAGTTTGTATGGTATGTTATTATGAGCTGTTTAAACTTAATTATTGTGATGACTAAGTATGAATGACGTGGATTAGGATGTGACAGATATACTAATTAACTTTAGAAGGAAGTTTTTAGAGTGGGAAAATCTGGAGATTATAATAAGAACGCTACGAGTGGGAAAATCTTGATCGATGTCTTGAAACTTGAAAGAGTTGTTAACTGGATACATTTTGCTTAGGGGTGGCATCATCACTTATTCCCGTGGATTGGTGTAGGCAAAACTTTTTGGGAAGTCACAAACTGAAGCCCTTTTTAGGTTTCGGAGGAGACTGAACCCCAATACATCCCACTTTTGCTATCTTCTGTCTGATAAGCATCACGGTGCCTGAGAAAAAGGCAAAACCATACGAAAGGCTGTGAGACGCTTTTTAATGTGCATTGACAGCTTGGCATGTAGACATAAAGCTTTGAGATGTAAGCTGTTTAACCGTTAGGGATTTTTTCTTTACTCTTTATTTTGTAAATGCACTTCTATGTGTCAAGACACATTAGAACTCATCAAAATGTGGTCTAGGACTAAGAAGGACGTCTAGTCTGAAACCTTTATAAGGTTAGTATTTGACTCAGTTAAAAAACGGTATGATCCTTAATGCATATAGCATAGCCCCTTTTCTCAGTAGCCTGAGACATTTCAGAAACTCAAAGAAATTAAAAGGTTAGTTGGACAAAGTTTTTGCAGATAAGCAATACATTTCAAACACTCTGAAAAATAATGGATATCTGACATCTCAACATTGTAAGGTGCTCCAAGGAGAAAATGCTGCAACTCTGCTGGATTTAGGTCTCCATCTCGTATCCTTTTGACTAGCCATCAACTAGCTGCCTCTGAAGAAAATGAAAGAAATAGGATCATGTTTCTGTTGCGATATATGACCTTGGCTTGGGTCATCTCAAAGAAGAAGATGGTAAACTAAATAAACAGAGCTTGACATGTAGGGTTAGGATGAAGAGATTTTGAGGAAATTATTGTTTGCAAATTATGTTATAGTTTGAAGGAAATTATTTGACCTTGGCTTGGATCATCTCGTATATCTAAGGTCTTTGCATCATTTTAGTTTCTTAAATGTCTAGGCGCTATTTTATTTTATTCGTAGATTTGTACTGGCATGACAGATGATTCAGATATGGGATCAAATGTTGGATCTTTTTATTTTGGCTAGCAAATGATCACACCCCCTATGAAACTTGAACTTCTAACACTTCCCTCAAACTTTGTGTACACCCAAACTGACTGTTTATGTCTGTCATGTTGTCAGTATTACTCTGTAGGTTCATTTATGGGAATTAATAGTCCTGGTATGATTAGTGGAATTATGTGTGTCATGTTGTCTATATTACTCTGTTTGTTCATTAATGGGGATCAAGTAGGCCCATTAGCTATATGATTAGTGTAATTTACTGCTGGGGTATCTATTTTTCTTTTCTTTTCCTTGTGTATGTATTCTTATTGAACCTTCCATGCTGCAGAACCTACAATGTGGGGAGAGTGTGACAATAGAAGGCCAAACTTACACAATCTCAGCTGTAACTCATAGGTACCAGCTTCGGAAGGGGAAGTATGAACCGAGTGAGAAGAGGCTTGATGTTTTGTCCTCGGCGAGATATATCTTAAACTTGTACTTGGAAAATTTACTAGAACAATCTTGACGTTTTCTTTTATGTTATTATTTCCACTCAATCACTTGACACACAATCTCAAAATAAAATGAAGAGAATGTGGTGTTCTGTAGTTTCCTTATCACATCTCTTGCCAACTTGCTAGTTTGTCCATGTACAGTGAAGGAGAAAAAGAAAAAGAAAAGCAGAGGGTCTGTATTATTATTGCAATGGAGATAGATGCAATGATTGTTTGTTTCCAGGATTGTTCAGTGCTTCTAGTTTGTATAACCATACGTTTTCCTTCAACTTTTTTTTATTTTTTGGAAGGAAATGGAGAAAGTCTAGCCTGCGGAGGCACAGCACAGCAACACCGAAAATGATTGGTTAAAAGCAAGAACTTTGTTTAGGTGATTGGTGGCAGTGGTCCCCGCTAGTGTGGACGTTGTCTGAACTTCCTCTAATGATTACACGTGTCCGTTGGCGCCACTAGAGTTTAAGGTGCAAAAACTCACAGCATCCGTCATGTTCGGGAGCCATTTATAACCGTCCGATGCTGATAGGAATCAAATTTGAGGACTGGAAGGGAGTGGGTTACTGGGTCCCACTTGATAGCAAAGCATGTTACGTGTATGTGGTCACCATCATGAAAGACTACTCAACTACCGTATTTGCCCTCCTTTGTGCTTACCGTCTGCACTACATACACCAGACCCAGCGCCGGACCCACCAAAGCCCCCATGTGCAAGAATAGTGGGACCGAGCGGCGTGGCATTCTGGACCCACATGTCCGAAGTTCGTAACATGGAATTGATAACGGGCGCCCTGTCTGAAAAGACGAGTTTGCCCTCCATTTGCTTCACCGCAGGCGTACCGTAGTTTCATGCGCCGGGCATGACAGCCGTCCACGTGCTTCTGGCGATGTTCACGTGTGCGCATGTGACCCCCCCTCCTGCTTCCCGCGAAAGAAGTTAATGAAATTGGTGCGCGGGTTACTTAAGCCCCATGTGATTACGACTAATATAATTTCATTATCATCGAAAAATTAACAAGTAAATTAATGTCGAAAGAAAATTAAAAGTCCTTTTGGTGTTCTAGACTTTCAGCCGATGAAAAATATTTTGGTTGTGTTGACGGGATTGTCCAATTACATTTTGCATGTGATTTGACTTCCATCACGACAGGTGGTGATATAAAAACCTATCAATTTAGAAATTGACGGATCTTTTAGCTCTTTAGATTAGATTCCATTGATTAAAAAAACACATTATATTAGAGTTTTAAGAAAATTAAAAAACATATAATATTTCAGGAGAAAGAATGCCTGATGCTTGAAAATGCGACAATGTTGAGGAACATTCAAAGCTTACCTTTGTTTTTATTGGTTTGGTCGTGAGACTACCGCTTGATATTATGGTGTTTTCTCTAGAAGATCAAATCCTCAGAGTTTAAAAAAGTCACAACCATAATGTTCGTATTTAGGTGTAACGGATTGGTTTACTGTCTTTATTAACTACTCTAATTCACGTCTACCAACAAAGAAGGATTTAATTTTCTAATAAGAGAATATAAGCCTACTTTTATATTCAGATTTTTTAAAAAATTACTGAGGGTTTATTTCAGAAATGAAAGGGGGGACCCAAAAATCAGAAAGGGAGGTGCCCCATAAGCTATGATAAACAGTCTCATAGTAGTACCCACTCAAAAGTGATTTTTACAAAAACAAGAACAAGAAAAGCAGAGGAAGAAGAGAGAGCATTTCTTTATTTCTTTCTTATAATTTTTTTTTTCTCTTCTTTCTTAGAGAACAGAGAGAACCATCCAAAGACAAAGACGGCTTTTAATCTCTGCTTTGCTTGTGAAGTTGGCTTCGTTTTCTGTATAATCCCATCTCCCATCCACACCACGACGAAAAACCAACAGAGAAACTACAACTTTTTCCCCCCCCCCCATATAAAAATCATAAATTTATTACTATTTTTCTTTGGGTCCTTGTTGTTTCAACCCCTTGCTTCCTTGTTTCGATCGGATCTGAAGCTCTTCAGTGAAACCCAAAAGATACGGAGCAGACCCTCAAAGTTATTTCACTTTCTCTGTGAGGTGTTTGGGTCTCTCTCTGTCATTGTACCCACCAGCCATGCAAGATTGCTTGCTCTCCTCTGCTCTCTCTCCCCTCTGATCAGGTATTCTTAAGCTTTCTTTGCTTCTTTGGCGCTTTTCTTTGAGGTTCTTTTGAGTTGTCGTTCTGTCTGGGTGCGGAGAACCTGTAGGGAA